GAGGGAGCGAGAGTGAGAGAGAGAGAGAGAAGCGACCCGACGAAGAGGATGAGGGTTGATGTTTCTGCCGTTCCGGGGTTCTGGGTTGCGGGGAATGAACGAGGGGAGAAGAGTTATGTTGCCGCGATATTGTGCTGCGCGGCACGAGCGAACCTCGAGGGGGTGGCTTCCTGTTCCACCACCCTCTTCTACCTCCGGCCAGGGTTCCCTAGCCGGATTCTACGCCGCGCCATCTCGTCGTATCCTCCTGTTACCCTCCCCCTCCCTCCGTCAGACTCACGAACCCATCGACTGTCGATTCTGTATTATGTGTCAGGACCCAAACTCCTTGATGCACGTATACCACTCCGCTGCCACCTTACCACCCACCCCATGCTCGCCCCATTTCTTCCAGACCGTCCTTTTCTTATATTCGTCGGTAACTTATAGCGCTGTCGGTGTTTTCTTCAATAACGAAAGAAATGTATTCTCCACCTCGAATTCGTTCACGGCAAAAAACGACTTCCCGCGCGATCAGACACAAAAATTGATGCCGCGGAAAATAATACTCGACGAATACCGAGCAGTGGAAAATCTTATCTCTTGGTACAGTGATATCGACGCTATTTTCTATTTATTTTTTTTTTTTTTTTTATGCGTGAGCTAATCTTTTACATTTAATTTTTGTAGAAATGTATTTGGGAGGAGAATGTAAAAAGAAAATGTGAAAATAAAAAATAATGCTTAACTAAAAATTAAATGAAATTAATTATAAAGAAAAATTAAATGAAATTATTGTTGTATCAAAATCTCCATTTAAAATGATATTACGTAAAATCGTGATATTAGCTATAGTTAGCAAATATTCTTTTATATTTATTAATGACATTAATTACTGAAAGAGAAAATAATGAGAACATTCAAAACCATATGATATATATTTACGTATCGTATAAAGAAAGGATTCGCACACTTGCAGCACAGATTATACAAAGCGAATAATGTGTATAAGAAAGATATACGCATGATAAAAATCTCTAAAATCAATGATACGTATAACCGCGATCGAGCACTTTAACCGAATTGCTCAATAACGCTTTGCGGTGGATTCGATAACTCGAAACAGTCGAAACAGAGGTTTCCAATTCAGATGGACATTGCGTGCGGCAACTCTTGCCTGATTATTAGCGCTACTACCGTAGCGATGCAGTCAGTCAGGATTGCGGACTGTTCGGCTAGATGGGTAGCTCGCTGGACGCAGTCAGCTTGGTGTGAAATTAGCGCAGATGTCGTGGCAATGGCTCATGCTACAACTTCTCTGTTCATTTTCCACGAGAATGAATCGGGAAGGGGATCTCGTCGAGTCCTACCTTCTACTCTACCCGCTCTAGATTTGCAATTCCTGGCATTAAGCGATCGTTGACCCAATTAATCCACCCGATCTCGTTGATATCCTGCGAGACAACTCTTTGAAGAAATGTAATCCCGCGGTGTTATTCCTGTGTTAATGTCCCCGAAATTTAATAGGCCCTTAAAATGATTCGAGTAAACTCGTGGATTATTTCATTCAGCTCGATGTTCCCGTACGACTGGAAAAATCGCCACATATCGTTTAATTTGACACAAAACGATCTTTTTTTTTTTTCAGGATTTCTTTCGTTCTCTCGCCTTACATACAAAGATACATACAAAGGGGCGAAACAATAGCCGTATTTAGTCGCGAGAAAGGGATTTTTCATTAGGACAACCTAAGCCCCGATGCGAAAGGATTAATAGAAGTTATAAAGTAGAGCCCGAAGAGGTGGAGGAACATTACGTGACCTGACTCCGATCGAGTCTTTCTTCAGGTTATATTGCAGGTTGCCGTCGTTTCTCATTCACCCCCCACGGCTCATGCGCATCACATCTGACCAATAGAATCGCGTGGTCCATCTTTGCTGCTGACCAAACCCCTTGACTCGTACCACTCTTACCCCCGAGATACATTCCCCCGCGAAAAAAAAAAGAAACTTTGAGACTGGTCTCTCTTCCCCTCCCTCTACCCCTGCATCTCTGCCGCCCGGCATACCCACGTCGAGTGTGTATTTTCTAGAGGAAACCTCATCAACTCCATCGAAACTCCATTTCTAAGAACGAAATTGGAAAAGACGGAGAAATACGTTCGACTCGACGAACGATATACGTATGTATGTATGTATGTACATACAATCTTGGAAAAATGAGCCATTCTTTTCTTTATTTTTTATCATCGCTTCTAGCTGTTGTTTATCCATTTTCTTCTTCTTTAAATATGTATAAATGCTACGTAATGCAATTATTGTGTTAATTAAATATTTTAAATCCGTCTTTCCGATAAAAACGATTGTATGTCGAAACATCGATGAACACATTTTCATTTCACGACTTGATTATTTGATCGACCCTTTTTTCTAAAACGTAATTTTGCGAATCGAAATAATATCAAGCGTCAAGTAGAAAAAAAATTGCAGGAAATTCTATCAAGCGGACAGCGAATTTGTGGATTAAGTTAATTGAAAAATAAATTAAAAATGATATAATACTATACATATAAAAGGCTGAAATAGATTTAACGAGGTGATTTGTAATCGCGGGTGGAAACCGAGAAACGAAGAATGCGTCTTCACGGGGGAAAACTAGCTTTAACGACTCGACAATTCGCCCTTATCCGCCAATCTGGCCTCAAGCTACCATAGCGCGAGCTTCCTCGCGGAACTGTCTAGTCGGGCGCGTCGAGCATGACTGGAGTGCGACGTGAATAACTTAGTAGCTCAATTCTGCTAATCCAGAGCGCCGACGAGACCTCCCCTCCCGATTCGGTTTTCAACCGGTGCGGCAGCTACATCCCATTCTTCGCCACTCCGCAGTAATATAATATTATCCGAGCATTGTGTGTGTTGTGCCCGACTAATTAGTTGTACTAACGTGCTGCGCGGCCTGATTACATATTCGGCTCGGCTACCCCGAAACTTGCAGAATTGCGAAACGTTTAAAGCTGCAGAATTTCTTGCAAGTCTGATATAATATTATACCTTCTGAGTTTTCACTAAATAATTCTTGCATTTTAAACAGCTATTATACTTGTAATACAGAAAAGATGAGGAAAAATTCCTATATATTTTTGTATCAACAATATCGTCATATCTGTAAGTTATTATATCTAATTTATGTGTAATAATTTATTGTATAAGTATACAATTATTAATGTTTTTAATATCTCTTAATTAAATTAATATTATTAATATTATACATCAACTGCAATAGCATAATAAACTTTGAAATCTCTCATAATTTAAATTTAAAAAATCTAAAAAATATCTTTCTTTCTCTTTGTACAAAGTAAGAATAATTATAATTTCAAAAATGTGCTTATTTATACTTATTAACAATATAATTTTTATATGCAAATAAAATCGATAAAAAGAGGCAAGAATTATTCATAAGTAAATAAATTGACAATTTTAATGAGACTGTTATAATCGATATATAGTTTGTATATCTCTCTGTCTCATATCTATCCGTCACTGCAAGAAAGTAGAATAAATAGCAGAAATTTTGAAAAGAAACATTGAGATTAGATTTCAACGCAAAATAAAAATCAATCAATAGCACCGACTATCCGAGCAGGTTCCATTTCCATCGACAAATATTTGGTCAAAACTAACATCACGGTACTAACTCGAATCGTTGCAATGTTTCGCTGCTATTTCGAAAAACTTGGAAAGAATTGGATCGCCATGCAATGACAATAACACCCGCCGTGTTATTTTAATTACCAATTCTTTTTTTTGCCGAATATAGCAGATTGATAATAAAAACAGATAACAACAATTCTCTTTACAATCCGATTAAATAAGTTTTAAATTTTCGAGATATTTTACGTACGACAAGAACTTATACAATCATCGGTCAAATAACTGAAAATATGTAAGATTATTTAAAGGATCCTATCACTTTGACTTTCCACAATAAATATTTTTTTAGATAATATACGCAGCAATTTTGCAAGTCTCCTGTATCAATATATTTTAGAAACGTTCTATTTTATATTTCTTATTCAATTAAATTTTACTGAATTTTAAGAGATTTTGAAAATATTTTTCATAAAATTATCATGTTGTTTTTCGATTATTTTAATAATAATAATCGTTATTATAATATTATTCATTAAAAGGTCTAATGAAAATTGATACGTAAAGTTAAATTGCTCTCTCTCTCTCTCTTTGTATATATTTGGCGATTTTATGATACCATCGAGTTGATGTTTATACAGTTAGGCATAAAACTTTAGTCCAGACTTCATATGAAAACAACCCCTATGCAATCAGGATGGTAGCAAGTAATAGCCGAGACGGGGATCGAAGAGAGGGGTTATACTCACACCCGATATTTCCCTCTCTCCTTGTTCCATTCGCGCTCTTTTTCACCCTTTGTTCCTCACTCACTCTCTATAGAGCAATTTATCTACATTATACCCTCAGTTGGTTTCACTGTATGTTTTGACAGGAACAGCATTATTAAATGCCCTGGCTATCTGATGATCGACACCCCTAATATACATAATACGCCTCTTCCTTACGCGTGGCCGGTTATACCCTGGTGACTATACGCACCCCTAGAATGTTCAAACGGTCGAAAATGAACGACTCATCGCAAAGAGATAAAAAGTTATACTTTTCCGCGGCGAGAATATGTGAGATTTATACGTTCACGCAAATCCTATTAATTCATTAAATCTTCTCTCGGTGGCTAAAGTTTTCGGAAATTCATAATTAAGTAATAGCATGCATTTAAAATAAAAAAATATGCAACGGAATAACACACTTTTTTCTTACATATAAAAAGTGAACTGTATTCATCATTTACGATTAAGCTAACGGTGTTAACTTTCGGGAAAAGGAGCGATCCAAAGGAGCGAGACGTTTATACTTAAGCCGTGTAAACGACTGTCTTGTCATAATATATCCTTAATGATCTATTGTCGAAATGCAGCGGGGATGTACCATAATTCTCGACACGTTTCCCGTCACGTGGATCAGCCATTTGATGCGTCCTATTGCAATTCAATGGGATTACAAGCGTGCGTACATCGCTAATTTTTCTCATGCTCACTGTCATTCTGTTATCTGTGGATGATCCGGCTTCCATTCGAGCCGCAACATGCCGGCACCCCATAAAAAATGTGGGATTTTAGCTATTCCCATCGAGATAAAAATGAGGCAGATAGATAAGCATTGTTACGCGAATTCAGAAGTGTCATCGTCAAAAGCCACCGTTTTCACGCGTTTATGAATCATGTCACGAGAGAGATGCAACAATTATTCAACTTTAAGACTAACTAAAGAGATATACTAATAATTTGGTTTTCATAATTAATTTTGAAATATTGACAACATTTTATTTTATATTTCTAGCTTTTCATGTAGAATTATTCTTTTATCTGTTATACCACGAATAGACTAGCAACACACACATTATCCTATATAAACAAGGAAGAAAATTCATTTAATCAAATTTCGTGCTAATTCGCTTTCGTTTATATTAATACAAAATATACATCTTGCACATAAAATATATTAATTTATAAGACACGCTACATATTTTTGAGCCTGATATTAAAAAAGAAATGTGCCGAATAATATTGTATATCGCGTTATCTATAAAGAAGACTAAAAAAGAATCGTTTGGAAAAGCTAATCCCGTTCGCTTTTGCGTGTAATAACAAAGGGTGGGCAATAATTGCGGTACAAGTACGTGCTCGCGCCGGATAGAGTTTAATTCTGGGCGATATTATAATTAAGTGGTTCCACGTAATGGTTGCCGTCACGTCAAGTAGTAACACCGAGGTTGGTGCTCATCATACTGCTTAGTTCAAACAATCAGCGACCCGATGGTGGCCGTCACGCGAACCCATCTTTTGCCTCAACTGGCGTCCTTAATATTCAAAAGAGAAGTCTTATATTAAAGCTATAAAAGTTTAAACGAGAACGAATGTCTAATATATTTCAGATTTTGTTCGAGAAAAAATATTAAAATCACACAATGATTCTTCTTCTAAATTATTATATATGAAATTATTTGGATATAATGAATAATATTTTATAATTTTTATATATTTGTATATATAGTCTAATCAAATTTTATATACATATATTACACAATTATAAAAGTCTGAGTTATTTAGATAATTTTAGATGTTAATATCCATAAAGTTATGACGATAAAACCAAAAATGTATACAATTGTTTATATTTCACAAAACTTGAGAGAGAAAAAATATATATGAGATTATTGAGGCATAATAAAATAGATGCACATATAATGAAACAACAACGATTGAAATCATAGTTGATGTATGCATTCAATCAATCAGCATTCGCGATGACGAGGAACATGTCTTCCACCATACGAATTAGCGTACGTCAATCTGGATCAGACTTAACACGCTGTTGAGTCGAGTACTCTACCGATCGCCGAACCGCAACCGGAAATTGGCCGCTTGGTTATCAAAGTTTGCGGTTTGCGTGTCTGCCGAGCTGAGCGGTAAATAGGCGAAAAGGGAAGAAGGTATGGGCGAATGGGGTGGGATATCCCCATTAATAAGCGAGTAAGAGATAGCTGACTCGTTGAATTAGGGTGCTGAAGGTAAATATTCATTTCACGATTGAAGTGACGTAACGCGAGCAGGTAAAGTATTCTTTTTTCTTCCACAGAATGTACTGTCATTTCAGCTTTCCTTTTCTACATTATTATATTATGAAATACGTTTATGCTTTTTTAGAGAATCTTTTAAAATTATATATTTCTTTTAGTTTTTATTGTAAAAAGCATGATATATAAATAGATATTATGAACTCTAAAAATATATATATTTTAATTTTTTCAGTCTCGCATTTACGTATATACCAAAAGATTTATGAAAACTATTTTAATTTGCATTGCGATAAAATTTACGATAAATATATAAATTGACAACTTGTGACGGATGTATTTAAAAATCTAATTAAAAGATAAAATTATTTATGTTTTGTATAGAAAATGAAAACACCGTAAATCAGAGTAGAAACGCGAATTTCGAGAATTACGAGAATTTCACGCATTTAATATATGAAAGTGCAGAGAGATATGTTATATTCCGACAAACAAATAAACGTATTCGCAATTTGCATTCGCACTCGACCCTGTTCGCGCAATTGTTCGTCCAGATGGCGCGCCCGCTCGGAATCAACGCGCCGACCGCGATGCGGATGTCGTCGCGAGTTGAATAATAAATTGCGCCGTTAATTGAAACAATTAATTAATAATTCATGATAGGCAAGGAGAATTTGCCAGGCGGATGGTGAGCGAGCGAGCGGATCGGGCGAAGGGTTGCGTCTGGTTGGGGGTTGCAGCGAGACGGCCGTCTCGCGCGGAAGCTTGTAATTTGCGTCACGACTAATGCGCAAAAGCGAGACGGTGAGTGAGGAAAGTGGCGGATGTATATATACATCTATCTCTCTCTCCACCTTCTGTGAATATAATTTACTTGAACAAACTAAAATCCTCATCGAGCGCGCCACTTTGTCGCGCCTTCTCTCATCGTAGCTCGGCATCCTTTTCGAGGGCCTGTCGCGTCTCGTTGCTTCAATATAACCTTCTCGACGTCTCTCTCTCTCTTTCTCTCGTGCTCCGACCTACGAAAACCGCCCCGATCGGTCCCGTTCAACCCCATCGTTCCGCGATTCGCCCGATTCACTCCTTTACGAATACTTTATAAGCCGGAAGACGCGGCCCGATGCCGCTCAAACTTTATTCTCTATTTATGTTTATTCACGGCAGAAAACGCGACCTTTTCCTCATAGGGTTCCTCGCTTTTTAAATCAATCCCGAAACTAAACAGATTATTTTGCCGTTGACATAAGAGGAATGGACAGAGTGCGATTGCGTGATACTCAGTTGCATTATACTTGGAACGATTATTTCTCTCTTCTTGCGCAAATAATTTTTATTATAAATTTTACAATTTATTTTTTGACGTCAACTTTGAACACAAAACTTTAATAATGAATAATGTAGTTACTTATTGACTATTTTAAAGATTAATTGTTTTTCTCTCTCTCTCTCCTATAAGCTATAATAATAAATTTATTATTATCGAAACTTTAGTACCGCTATTTATCAATACACGTATCTTAATGTATCATTGAAAATACACTCGGTGGTCTTGGACTATCTCCGCGATAATAAAAACCAGCGTTAAAATTTGCAAAATGGTATAAAATTCCATCGCCGACTAATGGAAAACACGTGTCGATCAACGAAAGATTCTAATCAGATCGACTTAGAGCCAGGCTCAATCGACCTTTTTCGGCGAGATGCGGTTCAATCTCTGTGTGCAAACGATAAAAATCCAAAAGGATAGAAAGCTGCAGGTTCATTTTATAGGGAAGAGCACGAGACGCGGAAAGGGGAAACGGGTACAATCAGTAGGAACGACGGAAGGGGAGGAAATGGGGGTGGAGATGGGCGGCGGGCGCACAAAGAGGGATGAACCGCCGTTCATAAATCTCGATAGATTACTAAATCCCGGGTTTGATGAAACTCCGGGCCGGGAGCGTACATACATACACGTATGTCACCGGGTTATACGCGTACACGCACGCACGTAAACCGGTGTTGGTATCGCGCTAGCTCATCGGGAGCCGGGCGCTGATAACATTATCATAAAACGGCAATATCGCGCGGGATATTGACTCGATGGAGGAGCCGCGCCGCCGTCAGCTGCTTACCGTGCGAATCGAGCTTTAGAAGTAATCTAGAACGGTGGCTTCTCATGGCTTACAACTCTTTTTTTTTTTTTTTCATATGCAAATAGCCGAACGAAACTTCAAAAGTCGTGTCGACCGAGAGTTATGCGTAACGTTTCGTGTTTATCGTAACTTGCTTTATCTCTTTTTTCCGCGACGTTTTTATATCAACTGTGTTACATCTGGTAGGAAACATTGCGCGTAATCGTGAAAAATAACTTGCAGTATAAAAAAGAGATAAAATATTCCACGTATCGTTTTATTTTCAATTATATACGTTTCAGTATTAATATAATCATTATTCGTTTTAATATTTAACAGTTTTAGTAACTGCATAATATAGATATTTTTAAGCATAAGATTAAGAACTTGAAAAATATATGTGTATGTAGATACTCTTTTAATAATATATATATTAATATAATTTATATATATATATATATATAATTTTATTTTCAATTATATACGTCTCAGTATTAATATAATCATTATTCGTTTTAATATTTAACAGTTTTAGTAACTGTATAATATAGATATTTTTAAGCATAAGATTAAGAACTTGAAATATCTATATATGTGTATGTAGATACTCTTTTAATAATATTATAATTAATATAATTTATATATATATATATATAAATTCCAAGGATTTCCGACAAACTATGTCAAGTGGAGCTTTAATTAAAAATAGTCGCGCTAAATGAGATATCGTGTTAAAGCGCAATATAGGAATTCGGCAAAAGGATGAAATGCGGTCCAAGTTGGCATAAGGAGATTTCACACAAACGCACATCTCTCTCTCTCTCTCTTTCATTCCCAGCCACCTCGCCAATAATGTCTAATATAGCAGAAGGCCTAGAGATGATGAGACTTCGTCCCGCCTCAGTTCAGTTCAGTTCAGGTATTAGATTATGAATATTCATGGCGGTGTGTCTGCGCGGTGCTTCATTACACCTTCCCTCTCCGCACCCTCACCGTCTATACTCGATCTCCGCCTCGGTTCTCCGTCTCGTCCTCTTCTTCTTCTCCACCCTCGCCTCCTGATCCGGCAGCAGCAGACGCGTCAATCAATATGCAACACCGCACCGCGCTTTGCTTATCTTCCGCAGTTCTCTAACCTCGCGCGAATATATATTCCGAGCCAGCCGATCCGCGCGAATATCTTTTTCCGATTTATGCAACGTCTCTGACGATGGTAATGATCCGGCGAATCGATGCGACGACTCGGTCCGAATCGACTAAAAGAGAATCCTCTCTCTCTCTTTTTCTCTCATTGTCAGTCTCGATATTAGCGTTGCAGACTGATAGACCGAGATTGACCGGTTGATTAAA